TATTATTTACAAATGGACAACATGACAGCTTTATATATTCAGAGATAACAGTTTTATAACAGACAACAACAAGTTCAAGGCAGAAGATTGTTCGTATGAAGTGAATGTTAGAGACAGTGGCAAGGCTCATGGCTCAGTGATAATACATTTGACTCACAACCAAAGGACCAGGATTCAATCCTAAAATTGATGAGGATCCTGAGCATGTTTCTAGACACCTGTTGCTCCTGTTCATCTAGCAGTAAGTAGCTACCTGGGTGTTAGCTGACTTGTGGGAAAGAGTTAGCTAACACCCAGGAAATGAATCACACTTGGGTTCTTAGGTTACCCTTTGGATTAATAATCCAAATAAAGTCTCTTTCAACAGTAGTTGACTAGTTCTGCTGAGTCTGTGAGCCTAGCGAGGTCTCTTACCCTACCTTCCAGGTACCTTAGAGTTGTCAGTGTTGCTCATGCACAATTTTACAAGGTCCTTATATCTAGTTTCAAGCTAAATCCTAATCAACAAAGTGGTCATATGTTAACAGGATATTATTTAATGAAAAAGGTGACTTAAACTATACAGGATGTTTACCATCATGACAGCAAAATATAATTTTCTTGAAATCACCCATTAAAATCTGCCTTGAATTCTTGAAGGTTTGGTAGGTATATTCTTTCACAACAGATAAATAAAGCTGGCATCCACTGCAGATCAAATGCAAATTAAAATATGCTGATAAAAATACTGTTCATCTCTTAAAAATAGATATAGTTAAAATACACTGAGTTTGTTGGTTTAATTATCATCTACATTTACACCTGTCTGCCTTCCTATATTTACAACCAGTGAATATCATTGCTTATCATCACTTTTTAAGAACAACTAGGCCAAACAGGGTACAGTGCTTCTTAACAGTTTTGTTGTAGCTTTAAATTTTATATTTTTTTTTCTCCAGTAGTTAGTCTGAAATTAAAATTGTAATTTATTGTTTTTAAATTTTTAGCAGAAAATTTTCAGTCTGTCTCTAAATCATCTTCAGGATATGGGCTATTTGTCATGTGAAATATATTTCATGTTGCTCCAAATCATTAGAGGACCTATCCAAAATATTATTTTTTCTGCTGAATATATAATTATAAAATATTTTCCATGGAGTTTTATTAGTAACCTACATGATGTACTTACAAACAAGTTACATATTTTCTGTCATATAAGATGCGCTAGTGCATAAGACAAACCCTGATTTTGGAGTTTTTTTTTCTTTTTTTGGTAGAAAAAACTTTAGTACATAGTAGTAGTATTCAGTATACAGTATTTACTGCTTACTATTATCACAGTTATGGATGAAAAAATTCATCTCAAGTTTTAGTATAAGCCAATCTTTTTTGTTTTATAGCTGTAGGATAAATTTGGGCACTAACAAGTAAAATGCTAAGAGAGAAAACATTAAGAGCCTTCTAGAGTGTGTGATTATGTTCGGTTGTTCACGCTGTCAAACTTCTGCTGCACACACTTACACTGCATTCTTTTCCACCTTCTCATTACCTGTACTCTCACTCTAGCCCATCTTTCTCCCAGTAATTACTCATATCTTACCCTATCTCCTTTAATTTATAAACTTTCACTTCTTTCATACTCACTGATGACATTCTCCTTGTACCTCATTTACCTCTTACTCTCACAGTAGCTACCACTAAATTATGCTCTAACATGTATCTGTTACTCCTCTAAACACAAACACATCGAGAAGTCTACCCATCAACCTTTTACCTACTAATGCATATCCTAACAAATTGCTATCATCACACCCTGTATTATGTCTTTTGTACTTGTTTATCCTCTTTTTCTTCAGATATCTATTACCTGTTGCCAAATGTCTTTCTATACATAATTCAATTAGAGGCCCCCCATTATTATTTACCCCCTGTGCTCCAAACTTACCTGCTATGCCCTCTACAACACATTCATTCTTTTGAAGTTCTGCACAACAATTATTTTCTCACTTGGTTCAAAACTCCCTAAACACTTGCTTAACACCTCCCAAAATCAGTCAGTTCCTCCACCTCTCTCTTCCCTCTTTCTCTCCCTCTCCCCCTCTCCATACACAATTTACTGGTCACATCAGTAACGTCTAAGGAAGATTGTCCTCAAACACACACTATACCACCACCACCAGATTAACTTCTGCAACATCTCACTCCAAAGTGCAGGTTCTGCCTTTTTCCCACCTCCAGGACTCAAGTCCAGCAAACTGGACATACATGTACAAACATGCTCTTCCTCATATACATCAATGATCTTCCAAACGTATCCCAACACCTGAAACCCATTCTCTTTGCTGACGACACGACTTATGTCATCTCTCACCCTAATCTTGCCACCCTCAACACCATTGTTAACGAGGAGCTGATCAAAATATCGACTTGGATGACAGCCAATAAACTTACGCTTAACACTGACAAAACCTGCTATATTATGTTTGGTAGCAGAGCAGGAGATGCACAAATTAACATTAAGATCGACAACACTCTAATTACCAGACATAATGAGGGCAAATTCCTAGGCCTATACCTTGACAACAACCTGAATTTCAGCACCCATATCCAACACATAACCAAAAAGTATCCAAAACGGTTGGGATCCTCTCCAAGATACGATACTACGTGCCGCAAAATGCCCTTCTCACACTATACCACTCACTTATTTATCCATACCTCACTATGCCATTGTGCTTGGGGATCAACTGCAGCAACACACCTAAAGCCAATAATAACCCAACAAAAAGGTGCAGTAAGAATAATCACTAAATCCCATCCCTGGCAACACCCCCCCCCCCCACTCTTCATAGATCTAAACTTACTCCCTGTTTAGTACATCCACACTTACTACTGTGCAATCTACATCTACAGGACCTTAAACTCCAATATCAACCTTGACCTAAAATGCTTTCTTGATAGTTGTGACAGAACCCACAGGCATAACACCAGACACAAACATCTCTACGACATTCCCCGTGTCCGACTAAACCTTTACAAAAATTCAATGCATGTCAAAGGCCCTAAAATCTGGAACACCCGGGTTACCTGAGAACTCTAGAACTGCAGACACATTCATCACCTTCAAAACTACCATTAGAAAACATCTTATCTCCCTGACACACCCCGTCAACTAACTACACGAATACCACCTGGTGGTTCACACTTATACTCACTCACCCATTTGACCATAAACAGAAATATTAATCTCAATCTTAAAATAATGAATCCTGTGATACTCCAATACTGAAACTATGTACTGTGCCAAAACAAAAGCATTCACATTGCTAAACTCTCAAACTAGTATTTAGTCACTTAGCCATAATACCAACTTACCTCATAATTTGTAATATTTTAAAATTAAGAATTAAACTAAGTCTGCCCAAAATGCCTAGCCATGCTAGGTGTTCTAGTGGTACATTCTGTAATCATTATTTTACTACATGTAAACCACACAATAACCAAATTCTGTAAACCCAGCATTGTAATCCTTATAGAGAATAAACTTTGAATTTGAATTTGAATTGAATACAGTACATATATACAGTGCAGTACTGTATATATATAAGTAAACCCAAATGAGTAGTGGGTGGCCAGTAAGGGTTTCTGTTGTGAATAGAGATAATTGGTTTGCTTTGATTGTAACTAAAACGTTACTGTTTACCTGGAAAGAGTTCCGGGGGTCAACGCCCCCACGGCCCGGTCTGTGACCAGGCCTCCTGGCGGATCAGAGCTGATCAACCAGGCTGTTACTGCTGGCTGCACGCAGTCCAACATACGAGCCACAGCCCGGCTGGTCAGGTACTGACTTTAGGTGCTTGTCCAGTGCCTGCCTGAAGACAGCCAGGGGTCTATTAGTAATCCCCTTTATGTATGCTGGGAGGCAGTTGAACAGTCTCGGGCCCCTGATACTTATTGTATTGTCTCTTAACGTGCTAGTGACACCCCTGTTTTTCATTGGGGGGATGTTGCATCGTCTGCCGAGTCTTTTGCTTTCGTTGTGAGTGATTTTCGTGTGCAAGTTCAGTACTAGTCCCTCTAGGATTTTCCTGGTGTATATAATCATGTATCTCTCCCGCCTGCATTCCAGGGAGTACAGGTTCAGGAACTTCAAGCGCTCCCAATAATTGAGGTGTTTTATCTCCATTATGCATGCCGTGAAGGTTCTCTGTACATTTTCAAGGTCAGCAGTTTCACCTGCCTTGAAAGGTGCTGTTAGTGTACAGCAATATTCCAGCCTAGATAGAACAAGCGACCTGAAGAGTGTCATCATGGGCTTGGCATCCCTAGTTTTGAAGGTTCTCATTATCCATCCTGTCATTTTTCTAGCAGATACGATTGACACAATGTTATGGCCCTTGAAGGTGAGATCCTCTGACATGATCACTCCCAGGTCTTTGAAGTTGGTTTTTCGCTCTATTTTGTGGAAGGAATTTGTTTTGTACTCTGATGAAGTATTAATTTCCTCATGTAACTAAAACATTACTGTATCTAATGGACACTGTTGTTTCTGACTCAAGTGACCCAGCAGATTTTGTCTCGTATTTCCATGGTCTGTCATGTTGAGGTCCATTGTAATGAGGCTTGACATAATACAGTCTTTAAGTATTAGGTTAAGTCTGCCCAAAATGCCCTGGCATGATAGTGGCTTTCTTTGTACCAATGAAATTATGAAATGTAAACACACATTGTAACCTTTGCAAAGAAATAAACTGTAGATGAATGGTTCAGAGAACCGACATGTTGTTGAATTAGACACATGTGCAACTCTTGGGTATCTTTATTGAGGAAACGTTTTGCCACACAGTGGCTTCATTAGTCCATACAAAGGAGAAACTTGAAGAACAGGAGGAGAATGAGGTAATCTGTCCCTCAGCCTTGAGTCGATGTGGTCAATCATATGCCGTATTCTATTCAAGATTGATGGATTGAACACATCGACTCAAGGCTGAGGGACAGATTACCTCATTCTCCTCCTGTTCTTCAAGTTTCTCCTTTGTATGGACTGATGAAGCCACTGTGTGGCAAAACGTTTCCTCAATAAAGATACCCAAGAGTTGCACATGTGTCTAATTCAACAACAAAGAAATAAACTTTTGTTTGTAACTAGAAGTATGTTTCTTGCTTCATCATGGGATTGAACTGGACCATAGCCCTGTCTGAACATTAAGAATAATCTTTTCCCTAGTAACATTTTTTTTTTTTAACTTTGACAACATTAGGCACAGTGAATTCTGATTTCCTTAAACTGCATCTTATATGGAAGAAAATATATTACTTTCTTTTAAAAGAATGATATACTGACAGTATTTTAGAACAATTATACGGTATTTATGTAGTATATTTATTCACTTTCCATAATCATTTGAGGAACACATTATTTACAAGGATTTAAAATTAAAATTCCTATCTAAAAAGAAATGCATGGTTTAAAAAATCTTTTTCAGAGAGTTTAACTGTACACATGAACCTACTTACAACAAAATTTCTTTCATAAGAGGGATGAAACACTAACAATAATTCAGAAGTATGCAAGAAGTAATGCATCATTTATAAAAATTTCAATGGAATTGTCGCAGTCATTATCAAAAGAAGAAATTCCCCCACAGAGACTTACACCTGATGACATTGTGCAAACGTTGAGTGCAACTTGCTGCCTCTCAGCTGGAGTTGAAGGAGTGGGTGGACTCGAGAGACTCCACCTCACACTTGGCCATCTTGAGCATGACCTCGAGGTGAAGAAAAAATGCCTTCTCAGTGTAGGTTATTAGAGATTTCTTGGTGTAGTCCACAGGAGGGTTGTACCTGAGGAGGAACAGTACAGTTTATCGTAGTATAATTATACCTTCAGCTGAATTGTACAAGTACTGTGCTGTACATAATGTGTAGTGTACAGGGTTTATTGATGGTATGTCCACAAAATGCTAGTACTGTACTATAGTAATATAAAAAGAAAGCAACAACAACAACAACAAGTGCTGTAGTAGTAACATCAGTGACATTAAAATTAGCTTGCCCAAAATGCATTGCATACTAGTGGCTCTTTTTGTGCCTAACAGTGTTTTATTACATGTAAACTACATTATTTTTGCACCACAAAGAAATACAAATTAATTTGAATTTTATCAGTGATGGTGAGTTGACCTGAGTTAACTCACCATATTCATGTATATACCCAGAAGAAGCCCTCTATGTCTGTCTTTGAATCCCCAGCAACTTTAATTTCATATTCTCTCTTAGAGATGAAGAAGGAGAATGGAAGAGTTCGTGAATAACATAGTAAACTCATAAGCCTGTAGCTTGATCGCTAGCGCACTCAGCTCACACACTGAGGTCCGGAGTTCGAATCTCTGATACAACTGGAAAACATTAGGACATTTTTCCATAAGACACCTACTGTCCATGTTCACCCATCAGTAAAAAATGGGTTCCTAGGGGTTAGTCGACTGGTGTGGGTCGCATCCTGGTACAAAATTGGCCTAATTTGTCCGAAATGCTCAGCATAACAAGCAGTTTTCTGTATAGTAGCATGTCACTGATGTTAGCTAGGCCTGTATACCTTGTACATGTACTTGTAGAAATAAAGATATTATTATTATTATTAAGTTTATTTAGGTATAGGTACACATAAGTACAGTTATCATTAACATGTGTAAATTACCTGTTATAACCCAAAGAAAAGTTAAAGTGGCTTAATACCATTGGAATAAACTTACAGTTCACAGACAAACTCTCCATTAGAGAGGTCCTGACGCTCAAGGAAGGTGTAGCAGAGAGTAGAGATGCTGCCTTTCTCTGGTCGATGGTAGCGAAGTTCCAGGAAGATGGCCATGTCTGTGCAGATGATAAGCAAGTTTATCTAGGTACAGGTACACACAAGTACAATTATCATACCTAGTAATATGTGTGTGTAAATTACCTAGGATACCCCCCCTAAAAAAAAAATTACTTTTTTCCATTGGTGTCCTAAGCCTAGTTTGTGGTAGTGCATGTAGCAGTTGTATGGTAGCAGTAGTAGAGTAACTAGGAGTAGTAATATTAGCAACAAAAATAATGGTATTATTAGGTGTAAAAGTATGAGTAATGGTGCATTGATAGTAATAGGATTACAGTATTAATGTTAGTAGTGGAACAAAGTACAGGGTTTTCTGGCAGGTACTGGCATTTTATACCACCTCTGGGAATGGTAACTATTATATTGTGGTTCATAGATATGGCTCTCAATGTTTAAGAATGTTATATTTATCTGGTAAGTGCGATGTTTAAGGCCAGTGGTTTAAATAAATAGCCATTAATTGGCATAAAGGTAGGGGAATGTTATACATTAAAATATTTGGTTGTGCTATTTACCTGGAGTTTACCTGGAGAGAGTTCCGGGGGTCAACGCCCCCGCGGCCCGGTCTGTGACCAGGCCTCCTGGTGGATCAGAGCCTGATCAATCAGGCTGTTGCTGCTGGTTGCACGCAAACCAACGTACGAGCCACATCCCGGCTGGTCAGGAACCGACTTTAGGTGCTTGTCCAGTGCCAGCTTGAAGACTGCCAGGGGTCTGTTGGTAATCCCCCTTATGTATGCTGGGAGGCAGTTGAACAGTCTCGGGCCCCTGACACTTATTGTATGGTCTCTTAACGTGCTAGTGACACCCCTGCTTTTCATTGGGGGGATGGTGCATCGTCTGCCAAGTCTTTTGCTTTCGTATGAGAGATTTTCGTGTGCAAGTTTCGGTACTAGTCCCTCTAGGATTTTACCAGGTGTATATAATACATGTATCTCTCCCGCCTGCTTCCAGGGAATACAGTTTTAGGAACCTCAAGCGCTCCCAGTAATTGAGGTGTTTTATCTCCATATGCACGCCGTGAAGGTTCCTGTACATTTTCACTAGGTCAAGCAATTTCACCTGCTTGAAAGGTGCTGTTAGTGTGCAGCAATATTCCAGCCTAATAGAACAAGTGACCTGAAGAGTGTCATCATGGGCTTGGCCCCCTAGTATTGAAGGTTCTCATTATCATCCTGTCTTTTTCTAGCAGATGCGATTGATACAATGTTATGGTCCTTGAAGGTGAGATCCTCCGACATGATCACTCCCAGGTCTTTGACGTTGGTGTTTCACTCTATTTTGTGGCCAGAATTTGTTTTATACTCTGATGAAGATTTAATTTCCTCGTGTTTACCATATCTGAGTAATTGAAATTTCTCATCGTTGAACTTCATATTGTTTTCTGCAGCCCACTGAAAGATTTGGTTGATGTCCGCCTGGAGCCTTGCAGTGTCAAAACTATGTTGTTAGAAGCTGTGTAAAAATGTGAATCGAAGTCTTTCACAGTACTAGCAGGCCACACTTTGCAGTGCTTCCCTTTACAGTGTTTCACTAACACAGCAGTTTTCAGTTATACTCATTCTTCATTTATTTAGACTTCCTACAATAAATATAGTCGTCACTCTAAGCTAAGGACAAAAATATTTTAAGGTAAGTAATGTGTGAACTGTATGTGAATTTTGTAGGACTAATATTGCTCACTTAATACTGATAGCATAAACATGTTATCAGGTTTTTATATGCACTTGAAAGTGAAAATAAGGGTATGAGTCACTTTACAGTGATTTTTGTGCTATAGCAGTAGCCTGGAACCTAACCTACTGTATAAGCAGGGCCCTCCTGTATACCTGGAGGGTGTTCCAAGGGTCAGCACCTACACGTCCTGGTCCATGACCATCCCTCACTGTGGATCAGAGCCTGATCAACCAAGCTGTTAATGCTGGCTGCACACAAACTGACATACGAACCATAGCCCGGCAGGTCAGGAACTGACTTATGGTGCCTGTCCAGCTCCTTGAAGATAGCCAGGGGTCTATTGGTAATTTCCCTTGTGTATGTAAGGAGACAGTTGAACAGTCTTGGGCCCCTGACACTTGTTTTGTTTCTTAGCGTACTCATGGTGCCCCTGCTTTGCATTTGGGGGATGTTGCACCACCTGCCAAATCTTTTGCTTTTTGTGGGAGTTCAGATTCAGAAAAGACATAGGAAAGCACCGGTTTGGTAATATAGTTGTGGATGAGTGGAACAAACTCCCGAGTACTGTCATAGAAGCTAAGACCTTGTGTGGTTTTAAAAAATAGGTTGGATAAATACATGAGTGAGTGTGGGTGGGTGTGAGTTGGACCTGACTAGCTTGTGCTACCAGGTCTGGTGTCGTGCTCCTTCCTTAAGTGGAAGTGACCTGACTAGGTGGTCATTGTTCTAAGCCAGGGGGTGGCATGGACCTGCTTTGCATGGGTCAGTAGGCCTGTTGCAGTGTTCCTCCTTTCCTATGTTCTTATTTGGGACTAATCCCTCTAGGATTTTCAAGGTGCGTGTTATCGTGCATCTTTCTTGCCTGTTCCAAGGAGTACAAATCAGGGGACTTCAACTGTTCCCAGTAATTTAGGTGCTTTATTGTACTTACATGTGCAATGAAAGTTCTCTGTATATTCTCCATGTCTGCCATTTTGCCTGTCATGAAAGTGATTTGAAGAGAATCATCATTGGATTGGCATCCCTAGATTTGATGGTTCTCATTATCCATTCTTTTATTTTCTTAGTAGATGTGGTAGACATTGTTGTGATCTTTGTAAATGAGATTCTCTGACATAATCACTCCCAGGTCCTTCACATTAGTTTTTTATTCGATTGTGTGGTTGAATTTGTTTTATACTCCGATCCAGTTTTTATTTCCTCGAGTTTTCCATAGCAGAGTAACTGAAATTTGTCTTCATTGAACTTCATATAGTTTTCTGAGGTCCATTTAATTACTTGGTTAATGTTCTCAATGGATTACACTGTCACTGCCCATGGTTCTACACCCACAGTCCTACTCCTAAACATTCTAGACCATATGCTGACGATGGTTCTTCGATTTCTGTTCATTCCACCTAGAAATGACCTACATGACACCCACTTCCTGTACGCACCATGTTTACAAGTTTACCTGGAGTTTACCTGGAGAGAGTTCCAGGGGTCAACGCCCCCGTGGCCCGGTCTGTGACCAGGCCTCCTGGTGGATCAGAGCCTGATCAACCAGGTTGTTACTGCTGGCTGCACACAAACCAACGTACAAGCCACAGCCCGGCTGGTCAGGTACCGACTTTAGGTGCTTGTCCAGTGCCAGCTTGAAGACTGCCAGGGGTCTATTGGTAATCCCCCTTATGTATGCTGGGAGGCAGTTGAACAGTCTCGGGCCCCTGACACTTAGTGTATGGTCTCTTAACGTGCTAGTGGCACCCCTGCTTTTCATTGGGGGGATGTTGCATCATCTGCCAAGTCTTTTGCTTTTGTTGTGAGTGACTTTCGTGTGCAAGTTTGGTACTAGTCCCTCTAGGATTTTCCAGGTGTATATAATCATGTATCTCTCTCGCCTGCATTCCAGGGAATACAGGTTCAGGAACTTCAAGCGCTCCCAGTAATTGAGGTGTTTTATCTTCGTTATGCGTGCCGTGAAGGTTCTCTGTACATTTTCTAGGTCAGCAATTTCACCTGCCTTGAAAGGTGCTGTTAGTGTGCAGCAATATTCCAGCCATAGATAGAACAAGTGACCTGAAGAGTGTCATCATGGGCTTGGCCTCCCTAGTTTTGAAGGTTCTCATTATCCATCCTGTCATTTTTCTAGCAGCTGCAATTGATACAATGTTATGGTCCTTGAAGGTGAGATCCTCCGACATGATCACTCTCAGGTCTTTGACATTGGTGTTTCGCTCTATTTTGTGGCCAGAATTTGTTTTGTACTCTGATGAAGTTTTAATTTCCTCGTGTTTACCATATCTGAGTAATTGAAATTTCTCGTCGTTGAACTTCATATTATTTTCTGCAGCCCACTGAAAGATTTGGTTGATGTCCGCCTGGAGCCTTGCAGTGTCTGCATTGGAAGACACTGTCATGCAGATTCGGGTGTCATCTGCAAAGGAAGACACGGTGCTGTGGCTGACATTCTTGTCTATGTCAGATATGAGGATGAGAAACAAGATGGGAGCGAGTACTGTGCCTTGTGGAACAGAGCTTTTCACAGTAGCTGCCTCAGACTTTACTCTGTTGACTACTACTCTTTGTGTTCTGTTTGTGAGGAAATTACAGATCCATCTACCAATTTTTCCTGTTATTCCTTTAGCACGCATTTTGTGCGCTATTACGCCATGGTCACACTTGTCGAAGGCTTTTACAAAGTCTGTATATATTACATCTGCATTCTTTTTGTCTTCTAGTGCATCTAGGACCCTGTCGTAGTGATCAATAGTTGAGACAGACAGGAGCGACCTGTTCTAAACCCATGTTGCCCTGGGTTGTGTAATTGATGAGTTTCTAGATGGGTGGTGATCTTGCTTCTTAGGACCCTTTCAAAGATTTATATGATATGGGATGTTAGTGCTATCGGTCTGTAGTTCTTTGCTATTGCTTTACTGCCCCCTTTGTGGAGTTGGGGCTATGTCTGTTGCTTTTAGTAACTGTGGGACGACCCCCGTGTCCATGCTCCCTCTCCATTGGATGGTAAAAGCTCGTGATAGGGGCTTCTTGCAGCTCTTGATGAACACTGCAACACAGTGGACTAAATTCTTTTTCCTACAACCAACATCTCCAACTGATTAACTTTCAGACCACAGTATTGGTAAAGCTCTTTTACAACACGTTGGCCAAAATATATCCTTTCACGCTCTTCGGAGCAGTGCGCGCATTGTTACAGTTCAAAATGCATACCAAGCTCATGGTCATTCCCATCTTCCATTAATAACGTTCTTATCACAGTTCACAAGCATGCTATTCTCAATTCTTGCTGTGGTACGGTGGCCTTACTGCATACCATTGTACA